AAGATGATACCCATCTCATTCTGAAAGGCCACTTCGACCCACCTCCCTTCCCTTGTTAGAATAACGGTAGACATAAGCTGTAAGCAACATCCTATGCAGAATTTCTTCCTCTTTCTAATGGTTATGTTCTTCTTCAGATTCCCTCGATGTTCGCTCAATAATCGGCAGGGATCTCCAACTCAAGATTTTCACCCATCTTCAGTTTGACTATTTTTGAAACTTTCATTTTCAACTTTCGAAATAGCATTATAGTTGGAAAGAATAAACAAAATGCAATATAACACAGTTTTTTCGCATCTCTAGACGGTTTCGAAATTTCTGAAAATATTTTTCTGATGCTATCGAATTCCATATTTGGGTATTCTAATCCTCACAGAACAATCTTCTCTTTCTATTAAACTTCTTTTTTTCTGATTTGCATAATATCTGAAGATAAAATCATTGTAATAATTGTTTCCGGACTCGTCCCAGGCTGTAACCAGAAAATTTGGAACCCATTTCAAAACACTAAGCGCTTAGTTGCTTACTAAAATCAGCTTTGAGTAAAAAGCTGTTTTGGAAGCCCCAAAATCCGAAGAATTGCCAGTGTTTGAAGCGATTGCGTATTTCACGACTTCGCAAAAGTAAGGACTTTTGGAAAAATTATTTTGAAAAATATTGAAAAATTAGTTGATGAAGCCAAAATAGTTCATTGTTTTGCATTTTGTTTGTTCTCTCCAACTGTTACCAAAGTCAGTCCAAAAGTTGAAAATGGAAATTTTAGAAAATAGCCAAACCCAAAATGGGTGAAAGTCATGGGTTGGAGATCCCTGCCGATTACTGAGCGAACATCAAAGGAATCTGAACAGAAACACAACCGTTAGAAAAGGAAGAAATTCTGCATTGGATGGTGCTTACAGCTTTTGTCTACTTTATTCTAAGTGGTTTGAGTATAGGTCTGAAAACGGCACGGACTTTCGGACCGACCTACTATAGATTGCAGCTGGTATTGACTATGGTAAATCTCGCTTTGGTCACTGCTGAAATTTCAGAAGAAATTTCAAATTTTTTGAAGACAGTATCTATACAAACTCAGTATTCAGGTTCCCTATGGAGAGATTCAGAGCTGAGCAATCTCTTAAGCGATAATATGTATTCAGTCACGGCCTGCTATTAGTACGGTACTAAGTTTAAAAATGCATCTTCCAGCAATGCCTTCGACAACAATGGTTCACGGATCGAACTGTTAGCTCATAAATTTTGAAATTTATAGGATGTCTCGAAAAACCTTTGTCTTATATTCTTTAAATGCAAAGGATGGCTAATGCTAGTCCCCTAAGTGTGAAAAAAATTTGTTGCTCACGCCCCAACCTCGAGGAAAATTCACGGACTGTCTATGCGAACATCGGTACCATCATACCAGCAACCTGGGATGGCGCGATCAAAACAAACCACAAATAAAGCTACAGTCTGTGTCAACAATGTGTTAATTTCCGACCAGGAACGCTACGCAAAGCCCCGTGCCACGTTTGCGAGCGTTGCAGCTTAATCGCACAATCTTGGAGATCGTTGTTCACGCGCTGCGGCGTAGTAGCTACGGAATTATGAGCACGTGGTTGACACAAATTGTATGCAATTCTTCTTGTCAGAACGAATGTGGAAATGGATTTTATTCTGACAGTCACTTCACACTCCTACGATCAGAAACAAGAGCTTGTAAGCTACACAGCATTTGTCGATATAAAAAATTGCGAACGGCCTAGTTTTTGGATTGTTAGCTGAAAGAAAATAGTTGAGCCATTTCTCAACCTAACAGTGCGAATCGACACCCATATCGCCCACGACACCGTGGCAAGCTTGGTCATAATGAATAAATATTCTCCTCATATTCAATTCTCATGAGAGGACAATTCAAGGAAGAAAGAATAATGAAACTCATCCTCAAGATGAAGGCGCTCTTGTTCAGCGAAGTCCGGGATCATGCGCCAGATAGTACGTGCCGTATGTGGCAAATTAGGAGTTATTCATGGAGGTGATCAAACAGAACAAACCCTCACTGAACAGTATGGAAGTATTATATTTGCGGTGCATATTAGAAGGGCAGGCGCATTTTGTGCCGCGATGATCCTGCCACGAAGTAAGCGATGCGTATTAGCATACGGTCATTCGGCTTTGTAGAGATAGCGCTTTCATTTTTCGGTTCTGCTGGTTTCTTATCGTTTTGCTCTCTTCCTTCACGCAAGTCGGGGTCCGCTTCCTTTTTGAACTTTTCCCCTAAGCAGTCTATACTGCTCTAAAAGGATAATCACTTTCTTAATTTGAATTGTAGACATCGTTAATAGATAGATCTTCGGATATTCTCCCTAACCTTGTGTAGTGTAATGGGTTCACTTCTGACTCTGCCAGAGAATCAGTTTGCTATTGTGATTAATATTTGTAATTGGTGCACTTCGCGTGCAGTACATATAAGTGTAAATATACAATACTTTTTACGTTCACAAGTTGCAAAACGGCGGACCGTCTCTCAATGGTGATGGTTACAAGAATTCCCATTCTGAGATGGTTACAGGGGGTCCCATTCTGAATATCGCTCTCGGCGAGGCTTGAGTTCTTGCGAGTTCTTCGCTTGGGCCCCTCGCCGCGTTCGCGAGCTTGTCTCGGGGCATTTTTCCAAGCTTTTAAGCCATTGACGCCTAAGGCTGAGTTCATACTGATCGCGAAGTCCGGGAGCAGCTCCAGCTGGAACTGTTCCCGAACTCCCGGATCAGTAAGAACGCAGCCTAAAAATACGTAGCCTGAGGCTTGGAAATACCGTATGCGAACTGCCCCGAGACACGTTCGCGAACGCGGCTAATAGCCTAAGCGAGGCGGCTCGCAAGAACCCGAGCCGCAATGACTGCAATTTTCAGAATGGAATCCCCTGTAGCCATTTTAAAATCGAATGAGATCCGTGCGGGTAAACTACAACTAACGAACCGACTAACTAACCAACTATAACTAACGTTGCAAGTTAGCTGAACGTTTTGTTGCTGTTTTGTGAGATACTCATGTCAGACTGCCTCTCGAAATCGTTGCTGTACGAGCCTTTCTGAGCGCGAACTATAAATGAAAAGCGTCGACCGCACGGAATGCCCTTAGGTTGCGGAGGCCACGCGGCTCGGCTGAACTAATAGCGACTTGTAGAGAGCATTTGTACTGGTACAGTGTTTGGCTGCGCGACGCGTGCTCCGCAATCAACGGCCAGTCGGTGCGCTCCTTGCTCGGGCGAGGTGTAAAAACGTTATCAATTATTCGCAGACTGGGAGGCATGCGCATTGCATATATACATGATCTAAACAAGATCAAACTTGTGTTGTCTCGGTTTCAAGTATGATCCTAAATGAGATAGATTACAAGTATAAACTTGGTAACCAAACGATTGAACTTGCTCAGAGAGTATGTGCAAAGGGTGCTCGAGTCGCCTAATCTAACAAGGGAATGGTAAGAAATCGAAGAGGCCAATTCATGCAAGCTGCATACTGTTACATGCAGCATAAAACGCTGTCTCCAAATCTGTCTTCCTTATCTACGGACCACCTTCGCGGATGGAATTATAAGCGGTTAAAGGCACCGTCCACCCAAAATGGAGGTTGGCGAGATTATGATGGCATACTAGTGTGGGCCCCCATACTAGACAAATCCCCAAGTTTCGCCGCAAAAGACTGCTTCTGAAGCGAGAAATCCGCTCCGAAAGTAACAAAAGTGGGCGGGGCGCCCCCGGTCGCCCCGCCCACTTGCATGCTTTATCTCGCCTGCACTTGTTGCAGAGGGTTCTCGAAACAGGGATTTTTGGGGGTTTCGCGAATTTTCGACTGCATATTCGGAATCAGGGCTTTCAGAAGGCCTGAAGGCGACAAAAGCATTGAATTCGAGTTGGGTGGACCGCCGGGGGCGCCCCGCCCACTTTGTTACTTCCGGAGCGGATTTCTCGCTTCAGAAGCAGTCTTTTGCGGCGAAGCTTGGAGGTTTGTCTACTATGAGGGCCCACACTAGTATGCCATCATAATCCCGCCAACCTCCAGTTTGGGTGGACGGTGCCTTTAAAGGTCATCATTTTGCTAAGAAATTATGTGTGTAAAGGGCAAAGGCCGTACAGAGCCATTTCTGGCTCAGTGCTAGACCAAAACATGCAGCTAGGTCACTTCATGTGGCCAGTACCTAAAGGTGAGCGAAAAGGGCAATAATGTGCCTAATCTCGCAATTTTCGTGCACGATTATTTCGCACTAAAGCTGGTCACAACTTCGCTTACAAAGACGCTCTGCAGGTATGGAAGACAGATTTGAAATCAGCTCTCTAAGATGCATCGAATGGTCTGCAGCTTGTTTGGATTGGCCACTTCGACTTCTGACTATTCCCTGATAAGAAGATTAATGATGCGCATTATTCATCCTGAGACCAATTGATTCAATACCGCTTTGCACACATTTCTGAACAATTGTATGAGAGCGTAAAGTCTCCCAGTATCTTAGAGAGGGTTGTAGTTGTCATTCAGTCTTTGACAAACAATAAGATACACGAGCACGCTTTGCGCACGCCTGATTAGCAAGTTTGAGCGTTCTAACGTGTTTCAGTAAATTATTACAAAGAATTTGTGAAAGAACATGCAAGCTCGTTAAACACAAGTTTGAAATGACTTTTTAAATGACCAAAACGCGTTAGAACGCACTCTTTAACTTGTTAATCAGACGCACGCAAGACGTGCTCGAGTGCCCTAGTCAGCGAATGAATATGTAGAAGTTTGGTTTTTGCCACAATAAGCCAGCACCTATCATCTATTCCATGACTAGGAGACGCGAGACCGCATTGCAGACATTGTCTTAACAAGTTTGAGTTGTGTTCTTCTCTGTTTTCAAAGAGTGAATAAAACCTGGACGAGATAAATAACAAATATAAATCTGCTGGTCACAATTAGGCTCGTTTAGACAATGCGTGCAATGCAGTCTCGTCTTCTAGTCATAGAATAAATGGTAATAACAATTCAGGAGTCTTCGACATGTTGTGTTACGTCACATGGTGGGAGAAGATCCTTGTGCATATCATTATCACCGGTGCATTCTTTTTCTATCGCAATCTAATGAAGAACTTGTTAAAATCGCTGGTGAGTTATAGAAGCGCTGATTCTAAGAGTGCACTAACTCATTTTAGTGGACATATGTGTCCCTCAAGCGTGAACATAGACGTTCGAATGTCGCAGAGAATACACCGCCACGCTCGCGTGCTGCAAAGCCGCGCTCGTGTGTTGAGAAGTCGAGTTGCGGTAAGGTCGTCGTCGTTGATGAACAGGCTCGTCCGCTGCCCCACGGATATTTGAAGAACTCGAAAGACTCATACTATGCACTGTATTTCCGTTAGAAAAGCAAAGATAACCTTAAGGGACCCGTCATACTTCGCCGAAAAAAGCCCAAAAGCGCCCAAAAAAGCCCAAAAAACCCGAAAAAGCCCAAAAAGCCCAAAAAAGCCCGAAAAAGCCCAAAAAAGCCCGAAAAAGCCCAAAAAAGCTCAAAAAAGCCCAAAAAAGCCGGAAAGCGCCAGAAAGAGCCGGAATGTAGAAACGAACTTTTGGTAGAATTCTGACATTATCTTATCATGCGGACGATAGAAAATGACAAAAAGGCTCGATTGCGAAGTCAACACACATGCGTTAGCGCCAAAACGTGCGAGAAGTGTTCCGGCTCTTTCTGGCGCTTTTGGGCTTTTTTGGGCTTTTTCTGGCTTTTTTGAGCTTTTTTGGGCTTTTTCTGGCTTTTGTGGGCTTTTTTGGGCTTTTTCGGGCTTTTTTGGGCTTTTTCGGGCTTTTTCGGGCTTCTTTGGGCTTTTTTCGGCGAAGTATGACGGGTCCCTAACTTCCGACTGTATCTTGTTATTTTTTCTATGATGTTCTTTTGCGTTTACACAAGCTTTTCAACGACAGTATTAAACTTGTTACGAAGTAAACTGTTATGATTCTGATTGGTGATACAGTACACGAATGGAAATTGCAGCGTGCATTGCTATTGTTTAACGTAACCTGAAGTACACATAATATTCTGATGTCTAATTTGCCAGTGATCCTCTGCAGCAAGATGCGCGCTCCTCAGTCTCACAGCGCTAAGTCTAGTAATTTTTCGTCTTACTATAGCGTTCTTGTGGTACGGGATTGGGCAGTAAAATCTGTGCGTGAACAAATAGCCAGGCGTAATGCTGGCTTGCGCGCGCAAGGGGCCAGCATTACAGGAGTAGCTATTTGTTCACGCCTATTCGGTCGCCATCCTCGGCCCCGCAAGCACACTATATTAAGCGAAAAATCTACAAGACTGTAACGCCGATTCGTTAGGCACGCGTCTTGATCTACTTGATCCTTAATTCGCTTGATTCACTCCACTTCGCTTGTCAAGTCTAACGAGTCAATTACTCTCGGGACTTGATCCCTCTACCCTGTTGTATTGCATCTTAACAAAAGAATTCTTGATTTTATCATTATAACATATATATCAAAGTATGGGGGACATTAATGGGGAGGGGACCACCGAGCACCCGGGGGGTGCCAGCTCATCTGGAGATTCTGGGCACCGCCCAGTTGGCGTGGAGACTGTCGGACATCTAATCACTCTGCGTCTCGACACGCTCTTGCTCAGTTTACTGATTTGACCAATAGCAAAGTTGATAAAGTAGACCAGGCGGGTTAGGGTGGAGGACATTAGGTCGCCGAATTTGGAAGAGTCCCGCGCGGATTCCCTGCAGGAACGCATGTCCGCGTACGTACAAGGGTGCGTATTTGTCGCAAATGACCGGGGGGACCGCCCTCTTTCGGCGACCTAATGTCCTCCACCCGGCGGGTTAAGTGGGCCAAGTATGTCGTGTCTCTAAACCACTGAACAAGTTGAAGATCACAGTCGATGTCAATCAGGTGCTCCTTTTTCCGCAGCACTATGCATCCGCAGCGCGTGAGCGCAGCGATCTCCGATCGAGTGAAAAGATTGAAGCTCACGCGGTACGCTCCGAACTTGATATAGGAGGTTAGAGGTACGAACGCCTCAATTAGGCGCCACTTCTGCGGGCTGCTGGTCCTTTCGTCTTACTGTTGTACATCGTGTTGGGACCAGTAGTCCGCGGAGGCGGTGCTAAGGCTGCGTTCATACTGATTACGAAATCCGGGAACAGTCCCAGCACAACGCTCAGTTCGAGCACTGTGCTGGAACTGTTCCCGGATTTCGTAATCAGTATGAACGCAGCCTAAATTGAGGCGTTCGTTCCTCCACCCGATATAGGATTCTCGCGTTACGCTTGAGCTAATCGGAAAGGGAACACATCGTTGACACAGACTTTACGTAGCTTTCTCATGGAAGCGGCGAAACAGCGCATCGCTTATTGATTCGTAATCGTTAAGTAAATGTCCTAAATTCTCAACTGTGTGCAAGTAAGCCAGATGTTTTGTTGCTGTTTGTAAGATAAATAACCTGAAGTGTAGTTTGCGATTATGTCAGACGAAACGACCTCTTGAACGTTTCTGCCTTCAGAGTTACAGTTTCAAACATCGCGCGGGCGGACTCCAATCATGACAAATTTGTTGCTTTATACCCTCTCCATATCCTGCGCAATATGCAGTTGAGTAGATTTTCCGCTTAATATAGTGTGCTTGCACTGAAGGTGAAATGCGGTAAAATTTGCGCGTGAACAAGTAGCCACGCCAATATTGCCAACATTTTGCGCGCGCAAATGACCGGCTTTAGGCGCAAATTTTACCGCATTTCACTTTCAGTGCAAGCACACGATATTAATGGAAAAATCTACTCGACTGTAAAGTCGTCGCCTGCACGAAATCGCCCGGGTTGTTGTAGGCTGAACGCACGCGAGCGTGCCTGCAACGCGGCTGCTGAGTACGGGCGCTATGATGATTCATGCGCGCGAATGCCAATGTTAGCCCGCAAGAGAAACGCGCGCGGGTGCTCATTCCGGGCGATTCCGTGCAGCCAACTATACCATAGTTACACCAGAACAGCCTATGATGAACATTTATGAAGTTTCAACAAGCTTCTCTATTGCTGTTTGTCCTGCCATTGAACGCCTCCCTCCGGGGACTACTGCTGGTCCTTACATGCTTGCAATGCATGCGCGGAAGGAACAGTAGTCCGTGGGGACAGCGTCTGATCGTGTCTTCTTCCCGAAAGACTGGATGAAAAAGGTTACCAAGCAGATCGCGTATGATCCGTTTCGAGTAGGGTACTGTAAGTCGCCGATAGGCTCCATTCCTCTCGGACATCTGTAGAAACCGTAATGCTTGTGGGGTGTGGAGCTGCGTGCTTTGACGCAGATGTCCGCGTGAGACCAACCCCCTCCGGCGACATCTAGTTTTCCGCCCCTAGGAGACTCGATAATGGTTCATACAGTCAAGCAGGTTTTTCGCTCAATATGGTGCGCCTGCACTGCGGGTAAACTGCGGCAAAGTTTGCGCGTGAACGGGTGGAGGACTATATGTCGCCGAACGTGGGAGGGTCCGGCGCGGATTTCTTGCAGGAACAATTCCCCATGCATGTGCTAGGGTACGTATTTGTCGCAAGTGACCGCGGGGCCCGTTTCTTTTCGGCGACATGTAGTCCCCTACCCCGCGTGAACAAGTATAGGCCGTCCGCGCAGGGCGCGGAGAGTGCGCCAGGTGTGTATTGCGCGTCACTCCTCTTTCCTCGTGCACTCTCGCCGCCTGTTTTCTCTGCGCTTCTTCCGTTCGTGAACTGCCTTCAATGCATGTAACAGCGTCACTCTCCGTGCGCAGCGCGGACGGCCTATAGCCACAGCAATAACGGCATTTTGCGCGCGCAACTGGCCAGCGTCACAGGCATAGCTATTTGTTTACGCGCAGTTTTAGCATTTTACCTGCAGTGCAAGCACAGTGAGCCTACTCGACTTTAGTACGGTTGACATGCTTAAACTTGTCCTTCTATGACATTATTGGCAAACCGCTCATGGTGAGATAATGCACATGCTTCAATTGTTGTTCACACATGCGCGCGTTTTCGAGTAACTTATCTTACTGTTAGGATGAATAATAAGTTTCTTTTCTGGCGGCTGTCCCTGTTCTGCGTCTTTGCCCTGCGGCACGTACGGCTAAAGTGTTGGCAACATGCAACAAAATATTGGCAGTATGCCACTTCCTGCTGACTTCTGTTTGAACGCTAACTTCTTGCTGCATGTTGCAAACGTTGGCTATATGCGCCGCACACCAGAGACGCGGAGCAGGGGTAGCAGGTTTGTGAACGATAGATATCATTCATTGTGTCTGACTAAGAGACGCGAGCACGCTTTGCGTACTTTGATCAACAAGTTCATGGATGAGTTCTAACGCGTTTTGGTCTATTACTCAGGAATTCTTGAAAGAACGTGTTCAAGCCAGCGGGTTTAATGAGCTCAAACATGTCCTTCCACGAGTTCTAATAGCAGACCAACACCAACCAAAACGCATTAAAACACATTCTTGAACTTGCTAATGAAATGTACGCAAAGCGTGCTCGTGTCTCTTAGTCAGAGAATGAATCTTCTGCTAGATTTGTATAGGACGGAGTCGTGGCATCTCAAACCGTGGTGGTTTTTGATGACGAGCAAGTACCGTAACCTGGGGAACAAACCAGTTTGTCCACGTTATCAGAAGTGAGCAACGCTCCGCCTCTATACGAATTTGACAGCATCATGTATTGGTCATACAGCTTTTGTTTTTTGTTTTTTTTTTGGCACAATAAGGCGAATTAGATCATAATTTAGTAGTTCTCGACATGCTGTGTTATGGTCCTGTCGCATGGTGGGAGAAGATAGTCGTGCAGCTCATTGTCCTGGGTGCTATGTTTTTCTATCTGGATCTGATAGAGAAGGCGCTGAACTTGCTGGTAAGTTGTGAGAAGCAGCTGATACTAAGCACTAATGACCTGTTTTAGTTGGAGTACTTATCTCGCAAGTTTGAACATAGATCTTCGAAAATCGCAGGGAATCTAACACTGCGCGTGCGTCCTGCAAAGTCGCGCTCGCATGCTGCGAAATCGAGGAGCGATAAGGTCGTCGTCATTGATGAACAGGCTCGTCCGCTGCCCTAAGCATATTTGAGAATTCACGAAACTCATACTACGCATTGTGTTTTCGTTTGAAAAACCATCTCTAACCTTGATTCCGTGTGTATCTTGTTACTTTTCATCCTATGATGTCCTTATGCATATTTTGCAAGCAGTTTCTAGAATCAGAAAAGCTTCTCATCGACAATAAAACTTGTTGTGAAGTAGACTGCATGATCCCGGTGACACAAAACACGAATGAATTTACAGCGTGCTGTGGAGATGTTAAAGCATAACTTGGAGTAATTCAAAACATTCTGATGTCTAATTTATCTAGTGGTCCTTTGTAGCGACGCGCGCTTCCCGATCTTACAGCGCTAGTATCTAGGTTTCCTCCTGCTATAGCGTCATGCAATACCGAGATTGGGCGACAAAGTCTCTGCGTTAACAAATAGCCAAGCCAGTAGTGCCGGCGCTTTGCGCGCGCGAGGGGCCAGCATTACAGGCGTGGCTATTTGTTCACGCGCAAATTCGGTCGCCATTCTTGGCTCCGCGAGCAACTATACTAAGGAGAAAATCTACAACGGTGTATTTTGTGACATAGAGTTTGTTGAAATGAATTATAACAGCATGGCGCCACCCAGATTCTCGATTGCGATCTTCCTTGATCTTTGTTCTGCGATCCACACTTCTCATGGTCTCGATCTCAGATATGAAGTACAGCTAGCGCAGAAATCCGATAAAAACACTTCTAGAGTCTTTTTTAACAAGTGTAAAAGGAAGAAACGACGCTGTTCCATCAGGCTTTGGACATACCTTGCGCGATTGCCGACCGCGTGATTGCTGTTAGCGCGCGATTTGGCACTGCTACAATGGCTCATGTTCTTCGTAAGCGCATTTTCAGTAAGCAAGGGTTTACAGGTTTGCGTCAATAAAAGCTATTGCAGTACGAAGGCGCAGAAGCAGTATTAGTTGAGCGGGCCCAACGCGGCACGCGTATCTTCGTAATCCTGCGCCTCGTGCGCTATATGGCCAATAAAGCCGCGTTCGCACCCAAAGATATTGAGCCTTCGTTGGGAAGCAGCTCTCATAAGAGCTATGCGCCTGCGCACAGGGCCCGGCACAGATGGTCTGAGAGCAAACTGGAGTTCGTTTTCAATGATAGGAGCAACGGGGGTATCGTTTTTATAAGGTCCTAGAGCGCCGAAAAAAACGACAAACAGTCAAGTTTTGCAAGTTGAACATGTTCTTTAGCGAGCGCGCGAATTTCAAACGCAAGACTCAAACAAACAAATGGCTTGTTTACAGCGCACAAACAATCACATGACACCGAATTGGGGCTATGTGTATACAATATTACTCCAGACTATACTATGTGAAAGGTGGGTCGCGGGCGCGAGCGGCCTCAATTAGATCACAAAACCCCGCCCTAATGGTGCCAAGCCAGTTGAATCAAATGTTACACTGTGATAGATGTTCACGAAAGCCTCAACATAGAAAATAACAAGGTATCACCATATGTCTACCGTGTCACTATGGACTAGGACATATTGTATACCAGAAAATTCGTCTCATCAAGCTGAAGCCAAATCTTCCCGCAGATTACAAATAAAGCTGTTTTGAAAGAAGTAATACCTAAATCCCGCTTATCCCGCAAATACCGCGAATCCCGCAAATCCCGTGAAGTCGCGAATCCCGCGAATCCCGACAATCCCGTAGTTTTGGACAAATTCTACCGCTGCAACTGTAGTCTATATCTATGGTAAGCCTATATCCAGGTTGTCGGTGCTCGTAGAAACCAAAAAATTGCTAAAAACTGCAAAAATAGCTCAGCGTGAGCGGTGATTACCGTGAGTGAAACGGTTACGTTAGTCAGATTACGTTTTTTTTTGTGAAATGAAGAATTTAATGCATTTTTTGTCAGCGAGGGTGAATCAGCAGATATATCAGTCAAGGTAAATCCCTCATATCTTAAAGCTAAAAAGAGACAGAAAAAAGACTACGGATGATTTCGATGCTCTATAATCTCAGGTTTCGAATGCTATGTAGCTTGTTGGGGGGGGGGGGGTGGAGGACTATATGTCCGAAAAAGGGCGGTTCTTGCGGTCATTTGCGACAAATACGCACTCTTATACATGCGCGGGCATGCGTTCCTGCAGGGAATCCGCGCGGGACTCTTCCAAATCCGGCGACATATAGTCCTCCACCCCTTGTTGGGGCATTGAGTTTTTTGACTTTAAAAAATGCTTGCTCCGGTGACCCTAAAAGCCAGTACATTGGAGGAGCGCGGTGGAGCGAGTTAATGGAATATATTTCCACCCCATTTCCAACAACTGCCAATTTTTTTTCGTCTCACAATCTATGTATTCGACAGCTTAGGAAACAGAGATTCGACTTGAATCGTCGACTTTTTTCTAGCCCACTCTACCGAGAGATACCCCGCATTTTATCTAGAATTATGTCCATTTTTGAAGATTTTGAAAGCAGATTTCTGCTCTTCTGACCTGCTACCGCCGACTTATTCTTATTACAGAGCAATCTTCGATAAACACGGACAGTCAATTCTTCGTAGCTTTCATCTTGATTGCGATAAGGGAGCAGAAAGTTAACGCACTAATCAGTTGTACAGGGCTTTACAACCTGAGTGTCACAGCCGCCCCGCTCGGCCGCCACGCTTAGGTCCGCGCAGCGTTCGTGGCGCTGGCTGCGCGTCGACTGAAGCTTGGCAAAAGCCCGGGCGATACGCCGCAAACGCCGCGCGCGGCCTGAGCGAGGCGGCCGCGTTGGAGGAAGCGAGCGGAGGCTGTGACTCTTATGTTGAAAAGCCCTGTATGTTAGCCAGACAAAATCGCTCACATTTCCCGGAGCAGAATACGTAGAAAAAATTGACAGTTTTATTTTATTCTGACCTCGACCTCAGCTTTCAAATGTTATGCAGATTGTTAGGGGATTTCGCTTTCAGGGCTCGCTAACCCATTTTACTTCACAAGAATGGGAGTAGCGGCGACCCCCTTCACCTGGAGAGGGCCCGGCTCCCTCCATCGCACCTATGATTAGAAAAAGGGTGAGTGCTTGGTCAGGCCGTTAACTATCAGCCTATCTAAGTCATTTTTGTTTGCGTAGCCGCAGAGAGGTATGGTCAAATAGTTTGCAAGTCCTTATGTCCACTCCAGGCTTTGTATTTGAAAACGGCGACTTGCCGAAAAGTCAGTCAATAAACCGTTAACAATCACAGCTCAATGTATTTTAGCACAGTCTTATGATTATTTAGTTGTTTCAGTTTTTTATTTTTTTCCTGCATATTTTTCTGCAGCAATTTCAAGAAATTACAAATTTTCTGCTATCCTGATCGATATACGATTGTGGCAGTCGCGCAACCCCTAAGGATTTTCGCACCTCAACGTGATGAAGTGCGAGGCTGCTGCAAAAATCTCACGGCAGTGGCGGCGTAGCAGGAGGAACCAAAGGCCCTGCCATATCCGCAGGAGGCAATTAAGAGCGCAAGCACTGTGGGGAGGATTTGGCAAGGATCCAAAACAACTTAGCAAAGACACATGAAGGAGACCATATGAAAACGTATTTCATAACTCTGCTTGGGAAAAAGCAAGAAGCAAGCAAAAGTTTTGAAATCCACTTTTCATGGCTTCTCTTAATGAAATAACTGTCATTCGAAGAACTCGCCATAAAGAATTTTCACTATTCAAGTTGGAAAATGGAGGGGAAGGTAAACTTAAAGTCAGCAGTCCAAAATGAAACCTTGAATTGATAAATTAAATGATTGCAAAATTGTTTTGAACCAAATTGGAAATTTTTGAGGAACTGAGAATTTGCATCACATTGACGTAAGATTTTCTGTAAGTTGTAGATTTACCATTATAGTCTTCAGATGGTTCTTGATTTGAATTCGAGCAAGATTTCGTGAACAATTTCTTAATCTTCAATTTTCTATTACCGATTTTCAGCATCACGATTTGACGACTTCGGTTTACAAAACTGCCCCACTTATTTCTCTAGAGTTAAGAACATTTATGGATTCCTGCCAAGTTTTCTTGGATCCTGGCCAAATCTCCGGCGCAGTGCTCGCGCCTCTAATTATCTCCTGCGGACATTGCCGGCTAGGCCTTTGGTTCCTCCTGCGCGTCCTCCCACGGCAGTTATGGACGACGAGAGCGCGCTCACGGTAGCTCAGCCGCGGCGTTGATGCCAGCTCTGGCGGCTAACTGCGGCACCAGGCGGTTGTCTGATTACTCGCACGCCTCCTTACGTGTTTCCGTTCAGGCCGTAATCTTACAAGGGAACCGTGTCGAGTCGAAGTGGCCTTTCCAAATGAGACCCATAATGCTTTGAAGAGCATTAATCGGTGATTCCAAATCTGCTTTCCAAATCTGCCAAACGCCTCTGGACGCCGAGTTATGCTCGTTTTTGAGGTCAAAAAATTCAACGCAAAACAAGCAAAATCGCCGAAATTTGCTCAAATGGTCTAGTGTCAACTATCAGACCTGTTTAATCAATGGATACATTTTATCTAATATGCTAATACTTAATATTGCTTTATCTGAGAGTTAGAAAGATTGTAACAATCAATTTTATCTAAATTCTGCATTCATTTTTCGTTCCGAAGAACGGTCATAACTCGGTGTCCAGAGGCTTTGGCAGATTTGGAAGGCAGATTTGGAATCACCGCTTAATACTCTGCAAAGCAGTACAGGTCATCTGGAAAGGCCACTTCGACTCGACACGGTTCCCTTGTTAGTTAGACACGGGTGCCCTACTCCAACGGTGCTCGGACGTGAGCGCCTGACCGTGCAAAAGCCGGTTAGGCAAAATCGGCTAAGTCAGCAACAAGTGCAGATCTATCCACTCCCTTGATTATCGAGCTATGTGAAATAGCATTTTTGCTTATTTGCTGGAAAATGTTGGTAATTCAGAAAGTTCATTCAATTATCAAAGAGCAGGTGTGATTTGATTTGATTTGATCTCAAGTTTTGCAAAAATTCAAAGCCGCATCTCTTCAGTCCAGGCTGTACTGTCCATCAGGGGTAAGCCTCAGCAAGCATAACTCGCTTTGAAGTCAGGCTTTTTTAGCTAAGAAGAGCATATCTGGAATCAGCGCTTGAAGCTTATACCGGAAGTGAGACGACAGCGCCTGATCAAAGTTACAAAAACACTTTCTCAAACCAAGATTGACTTACCGTCGCGATCATTAATTGGTACGCCGCTCGCATGGTACTTTTGCCTGCATTACCATTCATTAGACTGAGAGCTTCAAGATCGCTATGCACATAATGCCTAAACAAGCTTGAAGTGTAGTCAAAAGTCTGGAAGTCTGGACGGTCTACTAGCATTTTCACTGCAGGCGATTCATCGCACACAACGATGGACGCCGATGCGTACCACTTAGATGATTCGCGCATGGGAGAGATAGTGGATGGCAAGTAAGTGGATGGCAAGAAGGATGGAAGAGCGCTTGATCAGCGAAATGCCGACATCGTCCATAATGATCCCTGTCTTTGCGTGCAACGAACGGTCTATATCTGGAATCAGAGTGAATAAGCTCAGGCTTGTGCAAACAATGTGCGCAAAGCGGTTTCGAGTCTCTTGACCACAGAATAGATGATTTTTTTCTTCTATGTGCTTCTGCCTACCACACTCCGATTTTTTCGTCGCACTATTTACCATGACCTATTAATGCTATCCTTGCTCCTTTTTGCTTGATATAGTACTTGTTGGTAGTGCTAAAGCAAATGGATAGCCAGCCGTTCGCGATGCCAGACTTACTAAACGGATGACATGAGAGCGAAAATATTGCTTTGAGACATCTTCTCAACAAGAAACTGAGCGTTTGCTAAAGGAAGTACCAATAATGTGAGGTGCTTGGCGACCGAATTTGCGCAAGGTATAACAGGGGTTTATAGGCGTGTTCACGAGGTAAAATTCGCAAGCTTCCAGCATCCCCTGAAAATAGAAACAATCCTAAACTGCGCATTCGTAATGATGTGAATACGCACCGGGCAGACGTCGTCACATAGCCCCTATGTCTAGAACCTCGTGGCTGTTGTTAAGTTTTACCGAAATCTTACTTAATCCTCATTTTGTAATGAGCCGCAACGCAATACTATCGTTTTCTTTCGCATAAAAACAGCGATTCTGCAGATTTTCGTTCACGAGATTCTCCTAATTATCGATCATTTTTACCCTCTGAAACTTCATGGCTCCATTTCTCTCAGAGTGGATCGCTTCCCTTGGTTTGCTTCCATAATCTAATAATTTTATATTCTTTAATGCTAGGCGCGCTATTCAAAGTACGTAACGGGACACATTCGGATAATTATGCAAAACCCAGTCAAGAACATATGTTTGCGAAAAACGTCATTTTAAAGTATATGGGTGACCCAATACGGAGGATTTCAGGTTGAGAACGGACAAAATTTGTCAATAATTGTACCACAGTAAAGACACACCCAAACGAACATTGCTTTTGCTATCTCTGCAGCTTTACAATAGATGAAATAAGACGAAACGGTAAGTTCCATAAAGGCGGATATTTATTGTTGCGAAGCAGACGCGAAAGCAAAGGTACGCGCACTCCACTGAAGTAAGCTCGCGCTGCATTCGCGTGTACTTACTTCATATAGGCATCCGCCTTCGTCCGAGACTGACACTTACTAACATGTAACAATACATAGACATCTTTATCCATCTATGAACATCGTAAACTTTCTTGCTAACTCATCAAAAACAGTCTGAATGCGTTGTTTTCCAAATGTATTGAAATGGTTGTTATAATCAAGATACATGAGATTTGTTTCAGTGTCGTAACCAAGATAGTGACCTTTCTTATCAACAAGCACTGGCATGTAGTCCACTATTTCACAGTTTTTGCATCTGAAACAAGCGGCTTTCTACGACATTATTATCCACGGTATGTGTGCATAATGAAATTATCAATGAATCACTAGTAAGAAAATGAACATTATGTTAAACACTGCCAAACCTTTTTCCAATTTCCCATATCCGATGACGAGCAAAAAAGAAAAACTCGTTCTTTATTATGAGGCCATCCTGAAACTTTAGACTTTGAAAGACTACACGAAATAGTTCTTCGCAGTTCCTGAACGTAGAGCTTTGCGGAATTGCGGTAGTTTAGCGAATGCGGTCACTATAAACAGCTGCTTCCAACAGGATTTGTTTCTTTACTTCCACAAAGAATTTGTGTCAAGTGATAGCTTTTCTTTCCGTGTAAGCTGCTTTATTGAGTCAGTGCCACAAATTTTACACATATACTCGGCGTACAAATTGCACTTGTGCATGGCATAATTCTAGGTGCCTAGATAATGACAGAATCGCGGTTAGCACCCGGGGTTTGGCACAACGCGCCCAACAAGCTGAATGTCGTTTTAAAACGAAAAGCAAAAGGGATATGGTTTTTGCGGGTCCGGGGGCGAAGCCCCGAAAAAACGTATGTATAATCTCAGTTTTGTATACAAAAGAACCGCCGATTCCTTCTTGCAAGATCGGGATGTAGGGATTGAAAAAGATAGACAAAAAACCTTCTGATACGCAAAGCAACCTTAAATTGGGTTCTTATAGAAAACTAAACGAGTAAAAAACCTCGGGGAGTTGGCCAGTTGTCACCCACTAACTCAGCAATTCTTGCAGCCCCCCCCCCCCTCCGTCCTAAAAAACAAACCTCATCCCAGAGCTGTTATCATTTGAGTCTTAGGGCCGCATGCACTAACATGGCCGCGGGGAGGGGATCGCAGCTTAAAAGAAAGCTTCATATGCTGAAGCTCCAAATATCTGGATTTCATGCTGTTTACCTGTCCGTAAGTATTCCTACTATCCTTCACTATGAACATGTTGAACAGGAGCGAGAAGCTGTACGAACCGCATTTTCCAGCTTTTGTATGATCCCTGATGATCCTCGGCCTTTTCTTTGAAGTATTTTTCTTTCTCCGAAGTTAATGAAAACCTTCCAAAGTTGTACTGAACATCTAACACAACAGTGCTAAGCATGTTGCTGATGAGAACAAATGAATTTTTGGAAAATCGAATTTTTCAGTAAACCCCAAATTTCGACCTGTGGATCATCGAAAATTTCATGACTTCAAAACATCATTTGTTGATTGTTGATTGTCACAACTTTTCCACTGCAAGAAACTGTAAAGTCACCTCGTATGCAGTGGCCAGGAATATTCATCAACAATAAAGCGAGAGTTTTTGGATGGTACACCAGGCAAAGTGATGGCCCACTCTTGTCAACGGGTGGTAAAAATTATGGACAACCTATTTTATTAAACTCGCAGTACCCTTCTAACTCTCGCTTTGAGGTGACGCTGCACACTTGACGCGCCTTACGTTCTTAGAAATCGTTAAATGGCCACTATCAGCTAGCCGGAGAGCGTCATCGAATCATCCCTTTTCGTTGGAAGTGACTCAAATAATGTACTCGCTCCGCAGGCAGAAGGAGCTGAAAGCGCTTAATAGCTGCGAAACATGGAAGTAAAGCGGAGTTATCTCTGACTCAGCTAAGCCCGTCCAGAACAAATCACATAAAAAGCATTGGAGGATGGCATCGCAAATGCAAAGTGACACCGTACAATGTAGGTGCCTTCGCTAATGATGAGATATCCCCTTTGGAGAATATGATGTACGGTAGCATGAAACTGACCCAAACGGTTTATTGATCCTTACCGCCCCTGGGCTGTTTATAAAAAGGGAAGTCATCGAAGCTTGTAAGCGGGAGGTCAGGCACATGTTCTTCAAGAACGACCACCCGCTTTGCAAACGTAGCTGAACGACCCCTCATTTCCCACTCTCAACACACAGTTTCAAATGTCGCACTTAGGAGAGAAAAAGCCTGTGACGACTTTTCGATTTTCTGCCGTTCTCTGCGCATGTTTTTCTGCGATAGCACACGGCTTAGCGGTGAAAACTGTATAAATCATGGTAAACTTGCCCCATTTTTTACGTTCACCCTAATACATCATATTGCATTTTAATGAACTTACTTCGATTGTGTTTAGAGCTTTTCCATTTCGTAAGTAATCAACAGCTTTATAAGCGCAGTCGAATATACAGCTTGGTAGTGCTTGTAAGATGTAGACCTGAAATTTAAAAAATTGGTCATATGTAGGACGTCCCAAAAGCATGAACGCGCTTTTTGATTGCTGGTATTTACCTTTCTTTCCATAGTCCCTGAAATTTAGATACCTTATCGTAGAATTAGTTTCAACTTAGATTTACCGTATAGAGCAATTCACCGATTTCTCTCTATTGTAGGATTATGGTAGGAAATTCCAGCTTCAGGCATTATAGCGCCATTGTGAAATTGGCCGATTAAAAAAAACTCCAAGAAAACAAAAGTTGTGTAGCAGTTAAGACGTTTAATACATAACGTTTTACAAGTTTCTAAACCTTTTGAATAAGAAACTAAGGGTTATATTTCTCAATTACTACATAACAGGGTTATTTACTAGGCTCAGAAATGCAATAATGCCATTGTGACGGCGCTCGGCAGCGACGACATTGTGCCGGAAGTGTCTGCTGTAATCCACTAATGAAGAGTAATGGAAGATATGTCTAGATTCGTTCCATGCTTTAATTCAAATTTAAGCTGTCCCTACAACATGTTGCCTACATGAAAATTATTCAGAAGAAAGCCGTTAGCGAAACGTTCGATACATGTTTTGGTACACCCTGCGTATGACATATTAATGTGACCTTTTTAGTTGTTTTCTCAAGGAATTTCAGTGTTTTCAGAAAAAGACCAAAGACTCTGTCTTCATCGATTGGTTTTGACACATTGAGCGGAGCCTTCATGGTGAAAGCTCTGTAAAATCATTATTTAGGTTTCGCAAACCCAAAGCTACTAAAAATCGCAACCTATCTATCATGAATACTACTTCAGGTTTCAGTTCTTCCACTACATGGGTAAAGTTGAAGGAAATTCCACAATTGTGACTGAACATTTCACATCCTGAACTTGTTAACGCCATTATGTAAATTGATTTATCACTGAAACTCTATGAAAACAAACATACTTGGTATACAAAATATGTTGAACTGCCTTGCATACTGTTTGAATGCCTTGTAAATGATATCGCCCTGGTTGCAGGCAAAGCTATTTCCAGCGACCAGAATGTTTATCCTGCCATTTCCATTCTAAAGACAAGACCAATATGCGGTGCACCCAAATAGAAACTTTCTTTTGAACCAGGAGCCTTCATTTACAGGTGACACGATTTAGCTTATCGTGAACCAGTCTCTACAGTAGCTGGTATACTTTGTACAGGGTGTCCCAAAAAATGTGAACACTGTTTGATCGTTAATAACTCTCTTGCTTTCATGTCTTCCAGCGAACTTGAGGTGCCGTTTTGCAAAGCGAGGTTCAACTTAAATTTAAAGCATAGGAAGATTCTCCAATCTTTTTTCATTACTGTAGGATTACGGTATGAACTTTCAGCATACAGCGCCACTGAGAAACGGGCATTTTCAGGAAAAAATCCCCAAAAACCAGAAATCTGTGTAGCAAAGTCCTCAAGTCCTCAAGCGTGCTGATTTCATCAAATGGTTTTTCAGTTTTTCGAGTTTTTTCAATGGTGTAAACACACCTCTGACGAATATTGGAAGAACAGTCGCTATCCTAAACCTGAAATAACTTATAAAACTGAAGGGTAACAGATACTTCACTATCCCAGAACATCCTACTTTACTATCCAAGAACATCCTACTTTTGTCTCCAGAAGATGAAAGAGCAGGGCGAATGAAAAGACCAGGGACTCCGGGCGACAGAAGACTTTTTCTAAGAGTTCTTAAGTTCAAGATACTTTGCCGAAAGACACTTTTGATAGCTAGACGAGATATGTTGTAATTCACCAAGCACGACAAATTGACTTAATTTTTGCATGGAGAGTCGCGTATAGTCGTCCTCACCCCACTGGTCGGTCGGTGGTCAAATCTGAATTTGAACTGAAGCAGACCGGCCGCGGCAGAGCGCGGCAGACCGCTCCTCAGCCAACCGCTTGCACATGAGCTTTTCTCTTATTTTCTTCGTGTTTCTTTGCTACCTTTCGTATTGCGGCAATGTTCTTTATCAGATTTTTGGAGTTCGCACCGCTAACTATTGTTTTGTGCAGTTGCTCTTGTGTTTTACATTTCCATGTAAACCGGAAAGAAGGATGCGATTGGAGATTTTTGGATGAGAAATCTCTTCTTTCCGGTAAGTGACATATACACAATTGTGATTTGATGAAATGTGTCAAGCGATAGCGATAAGGCTGAAATTCTCTTAAAGACTGTTTGTTTCAAAGAGTTAGCGGTACGGAATCTGAAAGTCTGATTAAGAACATTGCTAGGAGAGATAGCAAAGAAACACGATGAAAATAAGAAGAAAGCTCGTGCAAGCGATTGGCTGAGGGTCGGCGTCTGTCGCGCTCTGCTGCGGTCAGCCCGCTCCAATTCGAATTCAGATTCGATCACTGACTGACTAGTGGGGTGAGGACGGCTATACCAAAATGCTGGTTTATCTCATTAAAGGCAGTGTCCAGGCAAATCTGGGCATATGGGTTTTTTGCCTGGAAAATGATGAAGAGGTTCCAGCTAAGGCACTGCTCAAACCGCAGCGCAAACAATTTATTCACAGCTGAGAAATCCATCTATAAGTACTCCGCGGCTGTATCGTGACCGTAACACTCAAGATTGGTCCCAGCGCAAACGTAGTGGTAAAGTGAGCGAAGTCGTTTTGGGTTACAGTTACGGCGCAGGCGCAGGGTTTCCGGGGACGGAATTCTTAGCCGTGATTGAACAATTTCCGCTGCTTCTTGGGATGCCTTAGTTAGGACCCCCTCATCAATCTTCAGGCGAAAAACCATCCGCCCAGATTTGCCTGGACACCGCCTCGAAGGAGTGATTTTTAACGGCGGACGTTTTCAGTGATCTCAGCTAGTCATGTCATGACGATCAGAATTATGACTTTTAATAAAGCGCTAAGCCTCTGTCTGTTTGTCTGTATGTATATATCTGTATGTCACGAAATTCATAGAGTGAGTTGCAGCCAGCGTTTTGATCCAAAATTTTGGTCATAGAACCCTGTCAGCGTGTAGGTAAACTGTGCAAAAACACAAGCCGATCCAGTAAGTGCAACCATCGGAAACTGTGCGTCAAACTGATCCACGCGATTTTTGGCCTGCCAAAATGATTCGATAAGACTTTTTGCAAAGTCGTGGATTTGTTCGGCAAGTAAGTCCAAAAAACATTGACTCGAGCTCAAAAAGTAAGCAAAAAGTCTATTTTTACACAAAATTGGCGCCAAAAAGATGTAAATAAGCAAATTGTCGATTTGCCAAGTTTTTACTATGAAAATTGAGAGGATTTTCGAGTAGATATGTAGCTCAAGGTGGTATTTATCCTTATGGCGACTATAAAACCAAAATATAGGTCGTCCCGAAAGTATTTTCGTTTTTTTCAAAAGGTTGCCACAACCGAAGGAACAAACCTTTCTAAAACAACTTGGTAGCGTTCGATGCAAAATTTCATTCTCCTTCTAAAGGTTATAAAATTGTTGCAAAACAGTCAATGAGCTTTCAGAAAATAACCAAAGTCTGCGACCCATGCTTTTTGAGATGGTCAAGTTTCACTATTTTTTAAAACTTTCATATCAACCCTCAGAAAGAGTTCAAGTAACGATTCGATAGAGTAAGCCTTATAGAATACAGTACTTCTTTTTTCTCTTTCTCACAGCTCGCCGTAATTTTTTAAAAGATTTTTTAACAAAGCCATCGGATTTTGGCAGTCCCACCTCGGCCACAATCGCATCAAACATCAGTAGTTACTCGAAATTCAAGCTTTAAAGATGATGTACGACTTAATATTGAATTTGTAAAGCAAATGAGAGTTTACGGATTCGAAATATCAAATTTCGAGTTTTCCGGGTACAGCCTGGGGCTCCTTAGAAAAATGAATTGTGATGTGATCCCCGAAAACCAAACGAATCGGAAACAAAAAACACCCATTAGAAAGAGGAGAAAATGCTGCATCAAACAGCACCCGAGCTGCTCTTCCTTTGATGTTCTACAAGGATTTAGCTGTCCAAGTATGGAAATCGGTAGCATCAGTTAAAATTCTATTAAAAATGTATGACAAGCTACGGAAAGGAGAACAAAGTAGTACTGTATTCTGCAAGGTTTACTCTATCGAATAGTTACTTGAACTTCTTCTGAGGATTGACACGAAAGTTTTAGAAAAGCGTGAAACATGACCATCTTAAAAAGCATGGGTCGCAGACTTTGGTTATTTTCTGAAAGCTCATTGACTGTTTTGCAACAATTTTATAACCTTTAGAAAGAGAATGAAATTCTGCATCGAACGCTACCAAGATCTCTCAAAAAGGTCTGTTCCATCGATTGTGGCAACCGTTTGAAAAAAGCGAAAATACTTTCGGGACGATCTAATAAATTCAGCAACACATTCAAAATCGCATTTGTATTTCTGCGAGAAAATTTTTTCTCCCAAAATTACCGATCTTAAGTGGAAAAGCTTTAAAGATGAATGGTTGTTTATCAGTGGCGTACCTAGGATTTCCGTTCGGGGGGGGGGCGACAAAAATTTTTTCCTGATCAAGGGACTTGGCGTTAACCACGCCCGCCCTCCAAAAAATTTTTTGGAATGCTTCCCAAAATTTTTTCCGGTCCCCTGACCCCAAATTTTCAGAAAAAGGGGGCGTGGCGGCAGCCATGCCCCCGAAAAAAATTTTTACAAGGCTAATTTGAATTTTTAAAAATATTTAAAAATTATTTTAATTAATTACAAGTAAAAACAAGTCCTCTGCACATTTTTATACACATTTAAATAACTTTCAAAAATTTTGCGACCCATTCTCGGGAGGAGGGGGGGCGCCCCCCCCCGCCCCTCCCCCTCGGTACGCCACTGTTGTTTACAATTCATTCGTGATGTTCAGCATCGCGCGGTGAGTTTCAAAGTCATTATTATGCTATCACGAAGAAGGCACGGATAGTAGAGCCAATGCGAACCTCTGCGAAGCAGAGGTGACGCACTGGTGACATATACTTTTGCAAGGTTTCATTAAGACCTCGCGAAGATACAGTGACCGCCAAAAAGTTGCGGACAAGCCTCCCTCCCTTTTTCATCGCTCTATTTCAGAAGGAAAACAAGGATAAAAAAATGTACTGATTGCATTAGGTGATAGAGCTCTTCAAGATCTACAATCTACACTTTGCTTTTTTCGAAAAACATGTATTCTAAAAATTTTAAAAAACTTTTTCTAAAAAAAGTCCGAAAATGGCCGCGTCACAATGTCGCGGACAATAATTCTTCGAACACAAAAATTTTCTTTTGAGTCCTATTCTGAAGCTGAAACACAAGTAATCCAAACGGGTAAGCATACTTCTATACAGAGCTCGTCAAGAACTACACACTGGTTATGGTTGCTTCCCAAAAAACACAAGCTTGAGTTTTATTTTGCTTTTTTTTTAAAAATAACTTCTAATTCTCCTTTTTAAGCCAAGTTTCTTCACATGGAAACCTATTCATGACATTCCAACAACGCTGTTCGGATAAAGTAGATGCTCTTTACCATTCTCCATGCATCTGACGTGTGGTGATGAGTTTCTTTGCTGAAAATGGCTCTTGGCAGTGCTTGCACATGACCCCACCTGCACCTCACCACTGACTTGTACCGCTTTGCAGGCTTGTAACTCGGCCTGCAGTCAATGTGTGAGCCTGCGATTAGGCTCATTCGAAAGATCGAGACTTCCTCTACACGATGGTATGTAAAAGAGATGGGTATAAGAAACAGCGGAGATTTGGCGGATGGGGTGGAAAAACGCGGCCTCAGTGGTGGTTGGGGTGAAGGCTCTTATCAACACCAAAACAGTTCTAGAGCTTCAAAATGGATCTATTACAAGAACATTGACAGTTTCAAGCTTCCAGGATGGAACTGGTAGCGAAAGAAGCTCTATTCAACTTTAGCTGGATATCCTCACCCTACCACTGAGGCCGCGTTTTTCCACCCCATCCGCCAAATCTCCGCTGTTTCTTATACCCATCTCTTTTACATACCATCGTGTAGAGGAAGTCTCGTTCTTTCGAATGAGCCTAATCGCAGGCTCACACATTGACTGCAGGCCGAGTTACAAGCCTGCAAA